TAGGGTTTGGCATTAGGGTTAGTGGCATTAGGGTTAGGTTAGGGTACGGGATTAGGGTGTGTTATTAGTGTTAGGTTAGGGTATGGATTATGGGTTAAAGGTTTGATAGATAAATAAGAATTCATGATTAAGTATCATACTAACTGTAACATTTATTTTATTGTTAGGAAATAGAAGGTTTTATTGAAGATTCTTATGACGCACAGCAAATTACTTTACAGTCAATTATTGATGAAATTGGTAAAGAAGATGTAAAAGAAATCTGGAAAATTTGCGATATTCGTCCTGGTAAAAAAGATCATATGCATTATATTGTAATTTCCAATGAAATTTCGTTTCTATGTACATGTTTAACCACAATATCAAGGGGTATAATTTGCCGTCATTATTTTCGCGTAATGATGTTTTCAAAAGTTGCTGGTTTTCATATTTCAATGATTCCAGAAAGATGGTATCAAGATGTTTATCAAGGAAAACCATTGACGCAGGAAACTGGATTAATTTTTCTTCATGAAAATGAAAACCTGGAAAATAATACTAATAATGATTTAGAAATAAGGATTCCAACTCGTAAAGCTATTACCATTCCAAAAACTGTACCTATAATGAAGAAAGCTATTGAAAAAAGAAAAAAGTATGGTAAATTGTGGGGTATGGCTTGTGAAGCTACTTTACTTGCACTTGAATCTAATGATAACGAAATGGAACTTATATTACAAGATTATATCAATAAAAAGAAGCGAAACTATGAAATGATTTCAGAAAGCAATACAGAAATTGAAATGGAACAAAATCATATTAATAAATCAACCAATATAAGTAATGAATTTCAAGAACTTGGAAATATTCAAAATCCACTAAAAGCTAAAACTAAAGGCCGTCCTCCAACAAAGAGATATAGAAGTAGTATTGAGCATGAAAAGGGAGAAAGTAGTAAAAGTGGTTGTTCAAGCCGAAATACATATAAATGTCGTATATGTGGACAGTGCGGTCACAATGCAGCATATCATAAGAATGACAAACTTAAAGAACGCAAACAATAAATATTGTATGTAATTTGTAATTACTTTTTATTGTAGAATGTAAAATATAATATAAATTTAATAAAGTGACATATTTATGTATCGCATGTAATGAAAATTATTTTTAAGCTGTAATATGTTGGTATCGCACCCCTGAAGTGTAATTTTAGAAAATCGCAGGGCGCGATGCAAAATTTTTCCCTTAAAATATAATAATTTTATTTTAAAATTATTACAGTACATTCAAATATTTTAAAATAAAAAATTTATATTAAATATTAATATAAATTAAAGTATAAATCTAAATCAAAAATTATATATATAAATTAATAGATTTATTATTAAATTTTTTATTTTAAATCACAAGGTATGATCATCACTATTGGCCAGAATTATCAATTTTTACTGGCATTATATTTTTTTAATGCTAGTTGATTGTCATAATTTCAGTTATTCATCCATTAGAAAAATTCTATTATTAAATTATTAATTTTTATAATTTAATTATTTTTATATATTTTTATATTATATAATTAAATATATTTAAAATAATATATATATATATATAAAATTTTATAGTATATTTATATTAGCTTTATTTTATTATTTATATATAAATTCCAATTTAAAGATATTTTAAAGATATTTAAAATTTTGATTTTTTTATTATTTTAAAATTCTTTATTATTATATATTATATTCTACTATATAATATATTATTTTTTAAAAAATATATGTAATTTACATTTTATAAAATATTTACTTTATTTTAAAAATGAGTAATTTTAATATTTATTAAAAGTAAAATTCATTAAAGATAGAATTAATTTAGATAAAATTCATCTTTACCATATTATATAATTTATATTTATTATATTAAATTTTTATATACAGTCAACTTTTCTTATAACGAATTTTGATATAACGAATTTTACAATATAACAAATCTTCAGTATGGTACAGATTTTAACATATGAAAAAAATCTCATTATACCAAAATTTTACTAATTAAATGCTGTATACCGTTTAACGAAATAAATTTTATAAACCGTATATGAAAAATACCTTCTTTTAATAACGAATTTTCTTTTATAACAAATTTTTTTTCAATATAACGAAGATATTTTGTGTAACTTGCATTTTTGCATTATAAGATACAATTATTATACGACAATATATCATAATATACAAAAATTTTCTGGATTATACCAGATTTTCCTATCATATTAATGAATATTCCTATAATAAAGGTCTGATCAGCCTGGACACCAATTTCATTATATTAAGAGTTGACTGTAATACATTAAATTTTTTAATACTTTATAGTAAAATTAACTAAAGACTAGGAAACGGTAACCGTTGGTGCATCCGAAGCATCATAAATTACATGTTCATAAATTTAAACTGAACACTAAAAATATAACACTAAAAATGCTAAAAAAAGTAATAGTATCACTAAAAAATGTCATTTTATTATCATACTTTCATACTTTGTACTATGTTGCAAATTTTTAATTTATTCTCATGATTGTCAAAAAAAAAAAATAATAAGTTAACATTTAATTAAAAAAAATACAAAATGTAAAAATTATGAGTAAAAACAAAATTAATTTATTACTTAAATGCCATAGAAAACTTTTAAGAAATAAGAAAATTTAAATCAGGGATAAAAAAATTTTTAAATTTAACGTATAAACAGTAGTCATATGCCTTTATAAAGATATTTTTAGAATTAGGGGACATAAACAAAAAGTGTTGTACACGTAAATAAATTCAAGGTTACACCTGATCCTTAAATTTTATTGGTCATACATGTGTGTGGACAGACAACACTTGCATGGTTTGGAGTAGTATGGAAGTGTCCTACGCTTACGCTTCGGACAATAAATTTTATCTTAATTTATATATTAAATGTATAAATTAATTTTTAGATGATTTTATTTATTTATTTTATATATAATATTAATTGGAAATTTATACTTGATAATTATATGGTTTTATTTCAAATTGTAATTCATCATATGGGTAGTAAATAGAAAATAAAAATTCATGATTTTTAATAAAATGTATATAAAAAAAAGAAATTAGCTAATAAAAAAACTGAAAATTGTATCAGTTTTGTTATTTTTTTTAGAAAACTAAATTAATAAAAGACAAGTTTAAATATTAAATATTTTAAGTTTTAAAATAGTATTTAATAAATAAATATTAATTCGAATTATATAAATTTTTGCAAAATAAAATGCATTCACATTAGTGTTGTTACCAAAACTCATTTAATGATAAAATTCAAAAATCTGAAAGTTAAAAACTTTATTTTTAATGAAAAATTGGTAAGTCCAAAACTTTTTTAAATTATAATTAGTTTTAGAAAAACATAAAAACAGTTTAGGCAATTAATTTTATTATAAAAAATAGTTTTAGATTATTTTGACTAAACTAAAATTTTGAAAAAATAGTTTTGGTAAGCATCTTTAATTTACATAATTTTTTCGTTTTAAATTTAGACTAATTATATAGAAATTACCAAATTTCAAATACTAATAATTTTTTATATAAACATTTTTTTAAAAATCTGATTGGTAATTTAATAGTATTGTATTTGTCTTAAAGAATAAAATTACCAGTTTATTTCTTTGAAATTGTATTTTTTAAAGTATTAAAAGAGTTATAAGTATCTCAATTTTATTGTCAATTATAGACTTCTAACATCATATGTAAATTAAGGTGAAATTTACCTTTGTTAAATTTTACCAAAATTTTTATAGAGTTTTGTTGGGTTAAATAACTTGAATTAAATCATCTTTTTAAAAATTTATATTTATATGATTTTTTAATCAATTATTTTTTAAAAAAATTTTCAAAAAAAAAATGATTATTTGTTACAGATTTTATTTATTTGAACATTATGCAGCATAATAATTGAATTTTCTTGCATTTTTGATAATATCTTTTACAATTTTAAATGTAGTAACTATAATTTATATTTTTTTTGGAAATTTAATTATATAAAATTTACTAGTAGGTTAAATTACCTAAGTTGATCATCTCAGGTTAAAATTAGTCTTATACATTTTTATATCTTAATAAATATTATATAAATTAAGGTAATTTTAAATTAACCTCCAGTAAATTGTAGAAATAATCCACTTATATAAATAAGGTTAAAGAAAAAAAAAAAGTTATAATTATTTATTATAAAATCAACATTACGAGCGATTCTTTTGTTTATGTATAGACGAACACTTTTGTAAATAAATGAGTAAAAAAAAAATTCGTAAACTTCAAAGTATTAAATCGTGGGTGAATTGGAAGAACACTTTCGTAAATCTTTCATAATTATTTATATTTCATCCGATATTCTTATTATCGTTATTTTGATTAAAATTGTAGCTGAATTTGCTGTGATTTCTTTAATGGAAAATATATTAGTAATAAATAGATAAAATTTTATAATAAAAGGAAAGTGTGGTTCAATGTGACAATGTGGTTTTTTTGACAACTGACTGATGAGAAGAGTACATTGAATATGTTATAATTGAAAATTTAATTATTTGTTGAATTTCATTAACGAATAAAATTAGAACTTGTTACTAACCCTTGATAATCTCAAAATTCATAAAACTGATGCGGATAAAATCGCTTTTTATAATTTATAATTGCAAAAATTAAAAAAAAAAAAAATTAATGGAAATGTAAATCCGTAAATAGATATATTCTATATATGGTATTCTTGAAAGATAGATGATGAAAGATAATTCACATTTCGTAAGTTGCAAAAACCGACATTCTCATAATTCGTAAAATCATTGATCAACACGTGATATTCAATTAAAAAAAAAAGTTTTTTTTTTTTACAAAAAAATGTTTTTCACCTTTTACTCTTTTTTTCATATAGTTTTTACAAAAGATACAAACGTTTTAAACTTCTTTTGAAAAGATAATTCTTTTTAAATAAAAGACATTCCTGTACTCAAAAAAAAAAAAAAAGAAAAGAAAAAATCTTTTCATGTGTTCAAATATTACAAAGAAAAAAAATAAATAATTAAATAATTATCCAAAAATAAAAAAATAAAATATATGTATATATTATATATTTCATAATAGAAAAAAAAAGGAAAAAAGATTTTTTTTCTCCCAAAATGTCCTTTACAAAGAAAAAAAAATAAAGTAACTAAGAAAAAAAAGTGGCGAAATAAAAAGGCTTTACGATAAAAAAAATCTTTTTGTTTTTTTTTGTTCTTTGTTTACAATATATTCAATAAGTAGAAGAAAAAAGACATCAAAGCCTATTTAAGACTACAATAAAAAGAAATTCTACTGCTATATTACTAAATATATCACAAGATATGTATATATTTTTTTTTTTATGTATAAACTTACAAAATTTATAAATTTTTATGCAACTCAGTTTTATTTCTAAAGACGCGATTGCATACGATGATTTACAATATCACCAAAATCTCCAATTAGAACAATGCGGATTTTCTCCTGTCAGCAGCCGATTTACTTCGTCTCTCAGCAGCCGCCGCAAAAAGTTTATTAACAGCTTTACGACGAATACGAGTAGCGAAGTTTTTAGCCATATCTGGGCCTTTAGGTTGACGAATAGGTAAAACCGCGTCAGGATGTACTTTCATTGGACCCCCAAACACACTAATGAAATCAGAGGAAAAAAGGTTAATAATCTCAATTAATAAATAAATCTACTGGTGCTTTTATTTGACATGAAAGATAAGTAAAACGGAAAAATGTATCTATTTTCAGAAAAAAAAGAAAAAAGCTATTCACCTTCTACGTCTCTCTTCTTTTGCAGTTGAGGGAGTTGTGCTAGAACGTTGTTGATGCGACGTCCCGGTTGGTGTTTGAGGAGGAATATATTCTTGTGGATAGTCATAATAATAATAGCAATATGGACCTTCTTCAGCTTCTTCTTCGTATGGAATGATGTAATTTAGATCAAAATTATCAGCACCATTGTAACCATCGGAAGGTAAATATCCTGGAGTTGGTGGCGAAGAACCTTGAGAATCAGAATCGTCAGGATGACTAAGAACAACAACAGGAGTTCCTGAACCCAATTCACGATAATTTGTCGAAACAAATCGAAAAGAAGCAGGATTTGCACCATAACATCTAATCCTAGATTGTTGTTCAATAGCTTGCAAATAAGCTGATTGTTGCTCACCATATACATAAGTGTATGCCTGTTGAGGAATCGTAGCTGATTGTGGTTGTCTAATTGATTGTCTGATGTCTTTTGGAAAACCAGATGATGGTTTTACAAGAGTTGCCGATTTAGGAGGATTGGGAAGGTTTAAGGCTCTATTCACTTTTGGAGGAAAAGTAGCCGTTTGAGGAACTCTTCCCAAATTGTTATGAACTTGAGATGAAGATTTTGACAAGTTAAGCGGCTTTGGTGTAGGTCTAGAACTTGACGTCTTTTGTTGTTGTTGTTGTTTGTTTGAAGCAGTAGAATTATTATTCTGAACATTACCATTATTTATCTTAGGAGGACTCCTAGACAAGTTATGTACTTGTGGAGGAGACCTTGAAATAAAAACAGTTTGAGGTGGAGATGACCTATTATTTAAATTCAACATTTGAGGTGAAGACCTAGGTAAGTTCATTTGTTGTTGTCTTTGATCGTTTTTAACAAAAGTAGCAGTTTTTGGTTGCATTACATACATTTGTTGTTGATGATTTTGTTTTGGAAATTGAGCCGTCTTTGGAGTTCTGATAGAAGGTGCTCCTTGTTGCATATTATTATTGTAAACGTTTCTTGAGGTCGTACTCATATTTTGAGCGCGTTCCACGTTTATTGACTTCAAGTTAGCAGGCTTAGATTTATTACTACCACTATCCCTACGTTTACCTTGGTCACCGTTTGAGCTGTTATTCCTCCAGGATTGTCTTGTTGGGTCTTGGTTGGACGGTTGATGTTGAACTTGCACACCGCCGGCGTCCATTATTATTTTTTATTTATAAAAAATTATTTTACAAGGAATACAGTTTATCTTTTTATCTTTTTTTTTAAAAAAAAAAATATATATATATATATATATATCGTTTTTAAATTATTAAAGGAAAATACAAGTTGTTTTTATATATTTGTTTGTTCTGTAAGGTCGTTCTTTTTATGTGGAAATTAGAATAAAAAATACAAAAAAAAAAAACAAAAGAAAATAAAAAGCGAAGACGACGAAAATATATATATATATATATATATTAATATAAAGATTTTTAATAACGAACAAAAATAAAAAGTTTTTCCTTTGAATGGGAAACGAGTGACTGGGTACCTATAACGATGCAAGGACCAGCCAGTGGCCCACTACCAAGAAAATTATAGAGGGAAAGGGAGAATCTTGGTAAAGAAGCAAAGATAACTTTTCGACCACCTGCGTTATTTTTGACAATTTTGGGGGGATTAGGGGTAATAAGTCTACTTTGGTTACATGTGGTATATTCGAGGTGTGACATTAAATGCTACAAGGAGAAAGGAGGGGTAGAGGGGTATTTATAATAACTGCGGGAAAAAATGATTTTTTAATTTACCTGATTTTTTTATGGCGAAGTCAAGTGGCGCTAAATTGTTTTGTAATTTTGGTAAAAAAAACTTGTGAAATCAAAATATTTCTTACTGGCTGTGAATCATTTGATATTCCGATTAGAATTTCAGCCGAAAAAAAAGAATGTGATTATTAAAAAGGGCTCAGAAATTTTAAAAAAGAGCGGGAAGATAAATAAAAAAAATTCGGGTACCACAAGATAAACCCATGCTTCATATAAATTATTAAAAGTAAATAGAATAGATATTTCAATCAGCAAAAAGAAACCAATAAATGTAAATAAAAAATTTCTGGTTTTTTTTTTTTTTTTACCTTTTAATTTTTATTTTAACAATATAACAATATTAATAATTAATATTGTAAATATTGTTTAATTTTTTATTATTCAAAATAAAGCAAAAGTCCGTTATATCTAGTGTAAGTGTTTTTTTTGTTTGGTCTACTGAAAAATTGATTGGTTAAAAAGAAATATTTGTTTTTAATAATAAATTGACAATGGAAGAAAAAGAGCCGAAGGCGGAGTAACAAAGGACATAAAAGATAAGGTGAATTAACTAACTATTTTTTAACAAGGAAAAATAATTGTCATTATACATTATCATCTATACTATATCATATTTCTGATGTTAAATTTAATCATTGAGATATATTAAAAGAGAAAAAAACTCAATTAACGGGCTTTGTTTAGTATCTTGTATAACAAAGTGCCACACTCATCACTTTCTATATTCAAATAATTACGGCTTTTTTTTTTTTTTTTAATNAGCTTTTATTTTATTTTTTTTTTTTTTTTTTATCTAAGCAGGTTGAAGCAGATTGCTGAGCCGAACATCCGGTTTCCTACAAGTAAACAACTCTGTAAACGTGTTTAATTTTCGAGTAACAATCAAAAACTCTTCCCACGCGAAATTCTTTTAATAATACATGATTTTTAAAAATAGAATAATGATCATCGTAATTTATTTTATATAATTTGTTATTATAATTTAGCACTACCATGCTTTTTAAATAAAGAAATATTTTTTTTTTTTCGTAGATTTATTAAAACCAATTATATTTTAATTATTTTTATCTGTTTTTTTTTGTGCATGACAGGCAATGAAAACAAATAATAATAATAATAAATTATTTTAAAAAAAAATTTAATTCTTTCTTTTTTTGAAGATTTTCTTTATTACACGACATACAGTATAACGGTAAATAATTATAGCCTTCTATTCGAAATCAAATTTTTTGCTTTTTTTGCTTTAGACAAATTTACCAAGATCAACTAGCATACATAAAGTTCGATATAATTATTCATTATTATCAAATTATTATTTATTTATTTTGTTTTTTTTCTTTTTGGAATGTAAAAAATTTTTAAAATTTTGAAATTTAATTTTCTTTTATGAAAGAAGTATTTTTCCGTTCGAAAGTCGAATAATGGTAGATCATATATTTTTTTTTAACCAAAAAAGGAAAGGTCTTTATCAAGTACTACAAATTATAGATAAATAATCGCTGACTACACAAGAATTATCTTATATTCCCATATTGTATATTTAGATTTTTAATTTATTTTATATTACCATAATTCCATATTCTTTTGATTAAAAATGTTACAAGATATCATATTAATATAATAAATGAGCATTTTTTTATATTTAAATATAAATCAAATATAAACATTCTTTTATTACGTAAATAATCAACGGATCACATATTCATAATGTATCATTAAATATATTTGATAATTAATTTTATAATGGCGCATTTTAAAAGAAAAAAGCTATATTTAACAAGTGGAATGCCAACTAATATTGATTGTAATATTTTTTAAAAATAAAATAAGGAATTCCCAAAATTCAAATTGAATATAAATCAGAATTATTCTAATTGCTATTTATAGTTAATATTGAAATTTTTAAATGAGCGTTTATTTATACATATTTTTAACAGGTCATTAAAGAACTTTATTATTAATTAGAATGTATACAGTATTAGGTTAATTCAGATGTATTTTTAATTTGTTCCGCAATTTACTTAAAATTCAAAAGGAGAATAGAAATTATTTAGATAATTAAATGTAATATCATATTATAACTACGCAATTAAATAGATTCGGCCTACTTATTTAAAAAGATTACATAAATAAAAGTCATCCCTATGGATTTCTGATCTAAATTTTCTTTACAGATTTTATATATAAAAGTTTGTTTTTCAGAGTTAAAATGCCTTATAATATTAAAGATAAAACTATAAACCTTACAGAAAGAAAATATTAGAATTTTGTTTTAAAATATAATAGATATAATAGATATTTGCAATGATAACAAATGCTATACAATTAATACTTTTTTAACTTATTTAATAATAGTCATATTAAAGAATTTATTAATATAATAATAATTACCACAATACAATCCATTTTAGTATTTTAATTGGGTAAAATAATAAAAATAAAAATAAAAGTTAATAATGGACTTGCTTTAAGTTACTTTTTTTTATATAAGAACTAATTCTTAAATAATGTTTAATATTTTTTGGTATTTTTTTATTCTTATTAAGTTTGTTTTTTTTTATAAATTTAATAACTTATCAAATTACAACTAATTTCTAAGATAATTAATTAAATGCAAAAACTTTTTTAAAGAAAACTAACTTAAAATCTCAAATTTTAAGTGATTTTACATATTTATTAACTTAAAAAATGTTAAAAAAAATAATGGTATATTATACAGTATATTACAAAAAAACTGGAATTAAAATTGGTATATAAGCTAAAATAATTTATTTATTTATTTATTTTTTTTTTTTAATGATTTATATATGCTTTATAAAATAATTTATTTATTTATTTATTTATTTATTTTTAACGATTTATATATGTTTTATAAAATAATTTATTTAAAAAATAGAAACCCATAAATTTTAATAATAATAAATTAAGAAAGATCAACTACATTTCTCACTTATTGATCATTTGGCCATTTTTTCAGCAGAAGTTGCTAAAGGAAAAACTTTGGTTTTTCTCATTCAAGTGGTTGTAAAGTGCTTTTATTTTCATTTATAGACTTTCTGAAGATTCTTTTAAGATTTGAACAGATCTTTAACTCAAAGTTTTAGTGAAATTACAAAACTATAGAACAGTTCTCATCAAAGATAATTTTACTTTTGTAAAGCTTTTCTTCCATCAGATTCTTAAAAGTTGTAACAGTTATGCATTTTGAACTTTACGTTAATGTAAAGCTTCCTGTTAGTTTCTTTTTTTTTGGGAGTATTATAAAGGTTTTTCTTTGAAGTTCAAGTTGAAGCAAGATGATCACTTAAAAAATAGACTTTTTCTTTATTATCAGTTGACATTTAAGATGTTGAAGTAATAGATAGAGATTTGGTATTTATTACCTTCTTTATCTTAAAAATTTTCTAAGGTTATTACTTTTCTTTTTATTTTTTAGTTTTTTCTTTTTTCTGAAATTTTAGCATTTTTACTCTTAGTTTCTTTTTGGGGGGACTGGGATACTGAAATATTGATCATTTGGACTAATGGTTTGGTGTTACTTAATTTTTCTAGATTTATATAGATCGGTCAATTTAGAAGGGCTGATGAAATTGGTAGATTTTAATTTTTAATTTTTACTAATTCAAGTTGATTAGTAGAGGGATTATTAAAATTAAAAATATTAGATTACTTAATAACAAGTTTAAATTGGATCTAATGTATCTACTTAAAATTAGACAAAATACATTTCACATTACTATTTTGTAATGTCAGAAAGGTTCTATAGATTTCTATGTAACTGCAAATTTTATTTTAGAATATGCTAACTCTTTATACTCTGAATCTTTTATAATGAAGCTGTACATTCATTAATAGATGAGACTCAAGACCTTTTTAGACTGTTTAAATAAATTTGAATAAACCATTTTACTAATAGGTAGAAGAACCTTATAATAAAACTATGACCTATCAGAATTTCAGTATTTGGATCATACCTACCTATTTTTCCTGTTTAGCAATTTATCATATTTGACCCAAGTAATATCTTATAGCTATATAGATTTCATAAAGTAAAAAAAATTTAATTCTTAGTAAGTCTAGTTCATTACCCATTTTTTAATAAAAGCAACTTGATTCATTCTATTATTAACTTTAAATATATTCTAATAACTTTATATTAAGCAAATATACTTTTTATATTATTATTATCATTAATAATTTTAAAATAATTTCAGATCTAACTGGTTGGCGCCTTAGTAGTATTTTGCTTAATTTTAGCTTTTTGGCTGATGATTGCTCAGTATTTTGTTTTTATACAGCAGTTGAACTGTTTTCTGCTGTATCATTATTAAATTTATATTCATTAATTTTTTTCATTTTTTATTATTACAAGTTTAGCATTATATAAAATTGTATTATTTGTAAATTAATTCAATATAAATTACTTAGATTATATTCAAGTCAACTCTTATAAATATGG